TGCCTTTTTAGACCACAGAAACTCTCAAAGAGTGTTAATAGAAAACAATCTGTTGGATACTTTTCCTAACAGCAGCGGCAGCAGCAGCACTCAGCATTGGCATCAGGATGCCTAATGTATGTAAATTATCATTAATGGGATTTTCTATTGATGAGAATTGTTGCGTGCTAAACCACCCGGGCAGACAATTTTCCAAGCAGGCTGGCTGGCAGGTTTGATGATGCCTAGGACAGAATTGCCAGAAGTCCTTCTTCTTCCCAGCCAGCCATTGACACAATATCGATGCCAAACAGACGTTAAAAATTAAAAATTATGTTAATGTTGTGTTCCGCTCCATGAAGATTAGGCAGACACCGACTGGCATTCTAAATTGGCACCGATACACAGAGACCCAAACACCCACACAGGAATATTGTAATCAAATTTCAATTACATGGATTTGAATTCATTTATTAATTAGATGAGAAATACGCAATTGATGAGCATCATCAAGATTATTTGTTGTTGTAGTTGTTATTAAATGGAAAATCACAACAAATAGCCAACGTTTTATCATCGCAATCATCAAATGGCTGTTTGGTAAATTTTTAATGAACCAACAGCAAGAAAATGGGGTAATTAGAACACCAGTTTTTGCAGACAGAAGTGTCCATCTAATGGATGAATGAATTTCTGGAAATGTTTTAATATTTTAATAATTAATAATTGCTAATTGTAGGCAACTGGATTTTATTTCATTAAAAAAAGAAAGGGTAAGGGGAAGGGGGAATCTAAAATCCTTAAAAAAATTTATCACTTAAGGACAGGCCTTTAAAAAAATATTTTTAAATAATTCTCACATAATGTTAGGTCTTTAGAAAAAATTAAAAAATCCTTACCTAAGGTTAGGCCTTGAACAAATATTTAAAAAAAATCCATGGCCATGGTTAGGCCTTGAAAAAATATTTTTAAAAAATCCACGCCTTGAATACATATTTTTTTAAACCCACTCCTTTTGTTCGGCCATCGACTTTGTCTCATCTTTAATTTCCATTTATTTTTCAATATCCACAATATTTTTAAACCAGCCTAAAATTGTGTTTTGGCATTTTAGTGTCCACACTACGAAAAGCAAATGAACAACAAACAGCAAAAAAACACGGTTTAGTGGTTTTGTTCCGGCTACACTTTATTGCCTTTCGCTGGCATTTCTCGTTAGAATGATTAATGGTATTTCAATTTTGTTCTGCCACGTTTTGTTTTTGTCTTTCTTTTTTTTTTTGTTTTTTTTTTTTTTGGCAAATCATTGGCATCCTAAATTGTTCCAAAAAAACATTGTGGCTATTACAACAAACACGCCCACACACACAGACCAAATATAGCAATTTATTGGAAAACAACACCCCCAGCCTAAAATATACATCCATGTGTATGGATGTGGCAAACATGGGCTTTACATCCTATATGTGAATAACTATCATGTTATTGATTTCATTCGAACAATGCTTATCCGTTCTTTTCTAAACAATTGCAGATTTACAATTGGTTTGGAATTGGCGACTAAAATTGTGATAATTTAAAAATTATAAACTAAAATTATCTTTGAAACCCAGTAAGGAAAATAGTAAAGGCGGACAGGGCCGACTTTATGATACCCTTCACCACTTTGGGTTTGTTCAACAGGACCATTGATACCTTTCGTGTCAACCGGTGCAACATTTTCCTAAACTCCAACGAACATACGAATTTAAATCTGAATCGATTTTAACAAAATTATATGTCAATCGTACAAAATTTGGGTATTTAGTGCACACTTTACATAAAATCGAGGGAAAATATATATGGGAGCTATTTCTAAATCTGAACCGATTTTCACGAAACTTAGCACACATCATTCTAGACATAATTCAGTACGCTGTGCCAAATTTCGTGCAGATCAAAAGATATATAGGGACTTTAGTGTACCATTTACCTAAAATCGGATGAAAATATATATGGGAGCTATATCTAATCTGAACCGATTTTTACGAAACTTAGCACACATCATTCTAGACCTAATTCAGTACGCTGTGCCAAATTTCATTCAAATCGAAAGATATGTAGGTACTTTGGTGCACCATTTACCTGACGAAAATATATATGGAAGCTATATCTAAATCTGAATCGATTTGATTTTCAGGAAACTTAACACACATCTTTCTAGACCTAGTTCAAAACGCTGTGCCAAATTTCGTAAAAATCTAAAGATACATAGGGACTTTGGTGCACCAATTACCTAAAATCGGATGAAAATATATATGGGAACTATATCTAAATCTGAACCGATTTTCATGAAACTTAGCACACATTATTACAGACGCAATACAGTACGCTATGCCAAATTTCGTGCGAATCGAAAGATATATAGGGACTCTAGTGCACCATTTACCTTAAATCGGACGAATATATATGGGAGCTATATCTAAATTTAACCGATTTTCAGGAAACTTAGCACACATCATTCTAGACCTAATTCAGTACGCTGTGCCAAATTTCGTGCAAATCGAAAAATATATAGGGATTTTGGTACACCATTACCTTAAATCGGACGATGATATATATGGGAGCTATATCTAAATCTGAACCGATTTTCATGAAACTTAGCACACATAAATCAGTACGCTGTGCCAAATTTCATGCAAATCGAAAGATATTTAGGAAGTTTGGTGCACCATTTACCTTAAATCGGACGAATATATATGGGAGCTATATCTAAATCTGAACCGATTGTTCCCAATTTCAATAGGGTTCGTCCTTGGTCCAAATGAATTAGCTCTGCCAAATTTCATCATATTTGAATCATAATTGCGACCTGTACTTTGTTTACAATTTAACATGGACAGACAGACGGACGGACGGACATCCATAAATCGTCTGAGAAAGTGATTCTATGCATATTCTCAAAAGGAACCATGGGTCTATCGCTTTCCTTTTGCATGTTACAAACATATCCACAGAGACATAATACCTTGTACCACAGTGTGGTGAAGGGTATAAAAATCCAAGCCTGTTGATACACCTTGAAAAAATATTTTTTTTAAATTCACGCCTGTTGATACTCCTTGAAAAAATATTTTTTTTTTAATTCACGACTTGAAAAAATATTTTTTTTTAATTCACGCCTGTTGATACTCCTTGAAAAAAAATATATTTTTAAATCCACGCCTGTTTTTAGTCCTTAAAAAATATTTTTAAAAAATCCACGCCTGTTGATACTCCTTGAAAAAATATTTGTTTTAAAAAATCCACGCCTGTTGATACTCTTTGAAAAAATATTTTTTTTTTTTAATTTCACGCCTGTAGATACTCCTGGAGAGTTTTTATTTATTTTTTCCTTTGAAAATTTTAAATAAAACCACTTTTTATTTTATTTTTTAATATTTTTTTAAACGATTTGTATTTTATTTTAAATGATTTTAACACTGCACATTTGTTGTTGTCACTTATATTAGTTTAGAATATTTATAAATAATACAATATTTATTAGAGCTTGATATTACAACAAATATTACACAAAATAACAAAAATGACCTTATAGAACAAAACACTATTAATTACAAAATAATATTTTAGATTAATATTTGAAAAAAAACATTAGCGGGACATTTGTGAAAGCAAACAAAAATGTTTCTGTAATATGCAGAGTTGTGTTTTTGACAAATAACATCTTAAATATAAAATTGTTGTTGAACGATGATAACTGCTGAATAAATTCGACAGTGATATGAACACCAATAATGCGAAAGCATTATTTTACTTATGAATTACGAATTTGAATTTTTTAAGGAAATTTATAGCAGATTAAGTTTTAAAATATCTTTCAGGAGGCTTCCATACACTGAAGACTTTTTATAGGGCTTCGATGGATAGAAGACTCTTTGAATATCCTTTTGTAGGCCTTCAACAAATAGAGGGCCATATTTTGGGTCATCTATATATTGAGGATCATATATATATATATATATATTGAAAACATTCATAGAAATATATTTTTTATTTAAAGCGAAAGCAAAGTTCTTAGAAGTTCTTTGGCTTATATTTGTTTTTAATTGCCTTTTCAAAATACATCATGATTTAATTATTTCAAAATATGATTTTTATTGCATTTTAGTATATTTAAATTAAGCACTTCCAAGCCTTAAGCAAAAAATGTTTTTAAATTAATACAAATAGTTTATTATTCACAAAAAATTAATAGAAAATTAAAAATAAAATACAAAAAAAAATAAAATTAAATGCCGAGCATTATATACAAAAGTTTTGATTATTTTTATATAGATTTAGTTTTTTAAGATAAAAATAAATATTATTAAAATTACAAGGAAACAAAAATTGTTAAAAGCAATGCCAAAAGCTTAAAGTAGAAGACTGCCTATACAAGTAAGAGAAAAAAACTCTGTTTTAAGTAGGTTTTGGAGGGAAGGAAGAGAGGTAGGTAGTTAATCGAGTCTGGGAAATTTATAAAAAAAAGTGTGATTCTTTTTTTTAATAAGGAAAAGTAGTTGCACTTATAAACAAGCTAGCATTAATTCTAATAAAGTAAATAGTGTGTGTGTGAACCTTATTGTTATGGGTTTCATTTTTGCTAACAAAATTGTAAAGAGTTGCACCTTGGCATTATAGGAATCTCTGTGATAAACCATTTACAAAAGGCACATATTTACTTTATCTGAGTAGAATAAACCTTTTTTCATTTCATATAGTATAACTAAATTACATATCTATATAGCTACAAACATTTATACTTATATTATAAATTATTTACATTTTTTTTACTATCTACTAATCTTAAAAATTAAGGCATTCAATTTTTTTTAATATTCACTGTTTATATGTTTCTGATTTTTGTGCTGCTTGAACTTAATTATTATGGCTAAGTTTTAGTAATTTTTTGGGGGTTTTGGAGGGAGGGATGGATATTTTCTTTTGGTTTTAGTACAATTGCCCTAGTAGTAGGTTCCATTGTAGATAGGCGGCTGGCTTTATGATGTTGGTGGTTTTCCATGTACCCGGAATCGATAGAGACAGGTGTACAACGGCTGGCCATGATTCGATTCGATGCGTAATTCCACAATTTCATAGGGACGATTGATATTTTGATTTTGCACCGGGAAATACTGCAAAGAAGCATCATTATCGGCATATTCATACTCACCAAAGAGGATAGGCTCTTGATCCTTTTCATGTTCCAAACCCTGGAAGAAATAAATGGAAAGGGGAAATAGAGAAATTTTATAGAATATCTACCATCTATAGAGGACCTACAAATTAGATTCAAATTATCTAACACCAAGTGTCTCAGAAAAAAAATTAGTTCAATATACAAGGTTGTTGCACTGTTAAGCCTTTTAAAATCACATTTAAAAATCGCTTGTATGTTGCTTTGTTGAGTCTTTAAAAAATGGTATGTAACTCTGTTAAACCTTCTGCTATTCTGTCTTTAAAAATTCTAGTTTCGGACTCTGTTAAGCCTTCTGCTAATCTGTCTTTTAAAATTCTAGTTTCGGACTTTGTGAAGGCTTCAAGAGTCGTCTTAAAAATTTAATTTCTTTCGACGGGATATAAAAAGTACAGTAAGGTATACAATAAATCATATTTAAAAAGAGACGTATGGGCGTATGACATCAGACATCGCCATTAAATGTCCAAGCTTGCGGATCTGTTAAGCCTTAAAAAATCATCTGTAAAAACCGTCGATCGTGACTATGTAAGCCTTAAACAAATCGTATTTAAAAATCCTGACTTATGGTTCTATTGAGACTTCTAATAATCGTTTTTAAAATCCAAACTTGTAACTATGCCAAGCCCACAAAATATCCTAGTTTGTGGCTCTTTTGAGCCTTTATAAACACGTATGAAAAAATCCACGCCTGTGGCTTTTTGCGTCTTAAAAATATCCTCTAAAACACAAGCCCTATTGCTCCGAAAATTGTTCGGAAAATATCGTCGAAAAACCCACGCCTTGTTGCTCCGAAAGTTGTTCGGAAAATATCCTCGAAAAGCCCCACGCCTTGTTGCTCCGAAAATTGTTCGGAAAATATCCTCGAAAAACCCCACGCCTTGTAGTACTGAAGATTGTTGAGAAAATGTCCTCAAAAACCTCACGCCTTGTAGTCCTGAAGATGGTTGAGAAAATATTCTCGAATAACCTTACGCCTTGTAGTCATGAAGATTGTTGAGAAAATGTCCTCAAAAATCCCACGCATTTTGGCCTAAGAGTCCTTGAAAAAATTTATTCAAAAAAATCCACGCCTTATGGCCTAAGAGTCCTTGAAGAAATCAATTTAAAAAAAAACACGCCTTATGTTCTAAGAGTCCTTAAAAAAATCAATTTAAAAAAACCACGCCTTATGGTCTAAGTCCTTGAAAAAATCAATTTAAAAAACCACGCCTTATGGCCTAAGAGTCCTTGAAAAAATCAATTTAAAAAACCACGCCTTATGGCCTAAGAGTCCTTGAAAAAATCAATTTAAAAAAACCACGCCTTATGGCCTAAGAGTCCTTGAAAAATCAATTTAAAAAAACACGCCTTATGGTCTAAGAATCCTTGAAAAAATCAATTCTAAAAAACCAAGCCTTATGGCCTAAGAGTCCTTGAAAAAATCAATTTAAAAAAACCACGCCTTATGGCCTAAGAGTCCTTGAAAAAATCAAATTTAAAAAATCTACGCCTTTTGGCCTAAGAGTCCTTGAAAAAATCTATTTAAAAAATCCACGCCTTATGGCCTAAAAGTCCTTGAAAAAATCTATTTAAAAAATCCAAGCCTTATGGCCTAAGAGTCCTTTATAAAATTTAATTAAAAACCCAGGCCTTCAAAGAATCCTTGATAAAATCCTTATGGTCTACGAGTCCTTCATTAAATCTTGAAAAATATATTTAAAATATTAACGACTTATGACCTTTAATTAAAAATTCTTCTCTAAAGGTCTTATGTCTATAGAAGCCCTCTAGAGGGTATTCTGTCTATAGAAGACCTCTAGAACGTTTTCTGTCCTATAGAAGGTCTTCTGTAAAACCTCTAGATATTTTCTCTCTATAGTAAATCTCTAGAAGAATTATGTCTATAGAACCCTCAAGATGGCCTTCGTTCCATCGAAGTCCTCTTGAAGTTAAATCATGAACTTACCCAAACTGTAAAATTCTTTGGCGCCGAATCAATAGCTCCATTTGGTGCCAAACTTTTTGGTATGTGCTCCAATGTGAAACCGGTAACATAGACCAGAGAGTTTAATTTTAGCACTGTAAAATAATAATCAAAATTATTACATTTTTAAATACCACAAATTTAAATACAGTTGAAACTTGATTATATGGATATCTTATGTCGGAATCAATCAAGTTTCAACTATATTGCAAAATTTGCATCTTCCTCCTTTAAATTTTATTGTTGTCAACGTTGCTTACCCAAAAATCCTGGGAAACCTTGAAAAGCCCAACATTCACCCGGTTGGACATTGGGTGATATGGCAACACGTGGTGTATTTGTGGGATACCATAGGGGGATACCAAAAATAGATATTTGTGCTGACTTCGTTTGATAACTCTCCGTGCAACGAGTGGACAAAATTTGACCACCGGCCGATTCCAAAGCAAAATCAACCAAACCCGTTTTATCGGCATCATATATGGCCAGTACCGATTTGACAATGTTACGAACTTCCTCCTCCGACAAAGCTGCCTTGATTTGACCCTCCAATTTGGTATTCGTTTCCTTATGTTTATTCTCCACCGCCGTTATGATTTCCTGTTTCAATCTTTCACTGATGTCGCGCATTAGGAACATTGCAGATTTATCAATTTCTTGTTTAATCTTGTCATGGGTATGATTATTAATATCCGATAGGCGTTGTTCCAAATAATCTTTCGCGACAAACATGGAGTTGACCCAATGTTGCAAATCACCATCATCAAATTTGGCACCATTTTTCAGAGACGAGCTAAAACCGAGAATGTCTATTAGAGAAAGTTTCACTTGCTGGTTGAGCAAATGGAATTGTTCCTCTTTGAGGGTATTCAATTTGGTGGAGATTTCTTGTAGCAGCGAGGAGAAACGCTGATCGGTATTGAATTCAAGTTCTTGTAGGCGTTTCAATAAATCATCCTGGGTTTGTTGCAGATGTTTGATGGAGTAGTGGAGATCTTCATTTTCAGAGAGTTTATCCGAAAGGGAAAGCTTTATAAATGCCACCTCTTGGCCCAAATTGTCAATAATGAGTTTTTGTTGTTCCAAAAAGGCCAAGTGTTCGGCTGAGCCGCCATCCTTGCCGGAGGAGCTGCTGCTTTGAATTTTTTGTAATTCCAAAAGTTTGTCGTGTAATTTTTCATTAATTTGTACAGAGATTTCATCGTTGATGTAAGAGGTAAATAGGGGAGCTTTTAAAAGCTTGGCAATTAGAGCATCAAGATCCAATTTCTCCACCAAAGTGTGATAATGGGCGTGATTATTCACTTCCAGGGTTTGGGAAACCAAACGTTTAATTTCTTCAATATTATTCGACGACAATTGTACGGGTACTGTAAAATCGGTACCCTCCTGAAGTTTTAATAAAACTTTTTGTACTATTAGATTCAGATCAGCATCACTGAGGGCCAGTGCGTCCTTATCACGTTTTTGCCTTGACAAAGTTTCCAAATTCTCCTTCATTATTTGTACTATTAAATTGATTTGTTTCGATGAAAGTTCTGAGGCGGATTTCTTATTTTGTTGTTCCATCAATTTTTGTTGTTCTTGTAATTTTAAATCCACCAATGTTTGAACATAGGAATTAATGTGATTTAGAATATTTTCATATTGTTCCTCATTGGCCAGTGATGATTTTGACATTGACATTTTCAATTCTTCTAATGTGGCTTTTTGACTAGAACCCGTGGATGAGAATAGAGGTAATTGTAGAAAGCTTTTTATGGCATGAACATTCGTGTACAATGATCCTCGTAGAGTGGTGACGAGGGATAGAGGTAGCAAAGAATTCCATCGTTGAGTATATACGAGGCGATCTTCGTCATCCAATAAATACCAGGCTGTTTTGCACAAATGTGGTAAGGGAGGGAGTCATGGAAAAAAAAATAGAAAGGGAAAAACAAAAAAAAACAATGATTAGAAAAAATACTCCTCTCTGTTTTTCTCTCTTTCTTTTGGGGATGTGAGAACCTTCTTCATTTGTTATATAGGGGGAAAAAATAATTCTAGAGGAATGGAAATGGAATGCAGCCATTTTTAAGGGGGGTAATTATAACAATTTTAGTAAAAGCCAATGTTTCTTTTTTTTGGGAAGGGGAGAGGGAGGCAATTTTAAATCTAGGGATTTATAAAACACAGCATAGCAATTTTGTAAAGAAAAAAATAAATAAATCGAACAAAATAAACAAATGAAGAAGGATAGAGTATTTTTTCCAATTCGTTGCCAATTGTTGTTGTTTTCCCTTCTGTTTTTTTCCTTTACCACCACACATTTATACAGAAAAGGAACACACATAAAAAAGTCAATACTTACCATCTCTATAAAGCTACCCAACCAAGCCATTAAGCCATATTACAAAAAATCCCACCCAAGGAATGTATCAAAAAAGCTTATAAGAAGAAATTAGGCAAGGGCCTTCAAAATACCGAAAATGGAGGGTGACTGTTATATGAAAGAAATATGGAACATTTTTCACTTCGTAGAAAAAAAACTAACAATAAAAATACAAACAAGTGAAAAAGTGTTAAGTTCGGCCAGGCCGAACCCCTACACACGTAACAAATGAGCTAACTATTTCAATATAAGAAGGGAGTTATATGGGAACTACACCTAAAACGTGGGGAATATATTAATAACTTTTGGTAGGAAGATTTGTTACCATATGCGACTAAAAAATACCAAATTACAGCGAATTCGGTTGAAAAGCGGGCTCAAGAAAACCAAAATACCGAAAATTGAGACTGCCCTATGTGGGAGCTAACCGGAAAAAATTGACCTATTTTTAGTGGAGAAATTTGGTATCCAATAAGAATCCATTGTATCAAATGTCAGCGAATTCCGTTTAAAAACGCACTTAAACCCCCCAAAATACAAGTAAATTGGGGTGTACCGTTATATGGGGGCTACTAGAAAAAATGAATCGATATTTATAATTTTTAGGGGCGACATTTGGTATCAAAAAATAACCCCATGTACAAAATGTCAGCTAATTCGGTTGAAAAGCGCGCTCAAGAATCCTAAAATATGGAAAATTGGAATGAGAATTTTACCCTGATCAAAAATATTTAGGGTCGGAAATGAATATTTCGATGAGTCAAAACGGAATGACAAAATTAATATACTGTGGTGGAGGGTATAAAAATGATTCGTTAGACGATAAAACATGGACCAATATGGACAATTTTCTGCGAGGAGAAATATCGCATTTGAACATTCGAACATAGAAATTTAATTAAACATTTTTTCTGTAAAGGAAGTATTTTATCCTCTGTGGACAAAAGATATGAAATTTCTGACACTTCTGTTGGAAAATGACCGTGAGCTTTAAAATACCTGTAGTGTCTAAATATAGAATTATTGAAAATGTTTGCCAGTGGGTCATTAAAATATCGAATCATAACAACTTAGGTTGGAAAAGGGATGAAGGCTCTATTCTACGTCGTATCAAAAAGAATTGAGTAGGAATCTTAAAAGTAGAAAGGGTCGGTAAATTTTGAAAGAAAGCCTTCAAATTCAATTTATTTATTTTATTTTTTTTTCTTCATGAATGAGAACCTAGCCACAAGGCCATGATCGGTTCCAAAAACCACTATACATCTACTACTCCAAAATATTATTAAATTATGTGACATAAAAAAGAAGTTATTTTAGAATATTCTTAAGAGTCTTTTTTCTGAAAATAGTCTAGGAACTTCTAGCGATATTTTTTTATAATTCGTACTACATTTGGGGAATTTAAAAAAAAAAATCTGGTTTAGTTGCATCTTATAAGCTTTTTTGATTGTTCCCTTTTCTACATTCCCTATTTTTTTTTTTTATAAAATTAACAACTCACATTGATATTTTTTGTGTGTGTTGGTTTTTTACATAGTGTTAGAGACATATTTTTATTTAATTAGTTAAAAAATATATATAATTTTAGAAAACTTATACATTGAGTGAGGAAGAAAATAATTGAATATTTTTTATAAGATAATTGAATTTTTTGATCATAAAATGTTAAAGTTGTTTAACAACTATGTTTTTTGTTTTAATATCATTAGAAGAAATAAAGACACACAGTGATTGTTTTTGTTTTTTCGAAAATTAGAAAAAAAAAATATTTACTACAAATATACATACAGGGTGGTGTCCCAAAATGTTAGGATTAATTATGGATTATAAGATGGAATCAGTTAGGGGAATTGTGAGTAAATAATAAAAATTAAGAAAAAATTACCTTGACTTTTTAGATGGATTTTGGAAGACAAGTATATCTCAAATATTTCTGAATACCGAAAACACCATTATAAGAAGATATTGGAAAAAATGTGAACTCAAGTTAACAAGAATCGATACCTTGGAGTACATTCACAAAAAAGATTTCTAACAAAATATGTAAGAATGAATCCCCATTGGGAATAAAAGACATAACTGTATATTTGGGAGTTATACTGTCATACAGTGATTAGTCCAACAGGGGTTCTTTGGCCCAGTCTTCATAGACAATAAGCATAAGTTCACAAACCCAACCAAACATGGCCTAACACACATGACTTAGGCCAAAATGTAGAGCTAAGAATTTTTTTGAAATAAAATTAATGAGAAAGAAGAGCTTCCAAAGTCTTCTTAGTTCAACTTTTTTGAAAATTTTTGAAAATCTTGAGGCATTTACATATCCTCCCTAATGAGGGGAAATTTATTGTACAAAATGTAGAGTTATGAAATATTTGAAATAAAATTAATGAGAGTAATTGCTGACCGGTTTTGAAAGGAAGAAGAAGAACTTCCAAAGTCTTCTTAGTTCAACTTTTTTGAAAGCGACCTTGAAAACAAAATTCAATTTTTTAGGATAGAAAATCTTGAGGTATTTACACATACTGATCCAACCTAATGAGGGAAAATTTATTGTACAAAATGTAGTTTTAAGAAATTTTTGAAATAAAATTAATGAGAATACTTGCTGGTCTGTTTTGAGAGGAAGAAGAAGAACATCAAGTCTTCTTAGTTCAAATTGGTTGAAAGTGACCTTTTTTTAGGACAGAAAATCTTTTGGGGCATTCACATATCCTGATCCACCATAATGAGGTGAAATTTATTGTACAAAATGTAGAGTTAAGTAATTTTTGAAATAAAATTAATGGGAATAATTACTGGTCTGTTTTGAGAAGAATAAGAAGAACTTCTAAAGTTCAAAATGTGTGTGTTGTGTTCATTGGATATCTTTCTATTTTGGGGTGAAAAATATTTTGTGTGAGGGGTTAAGGTTTCTAAACAAGGGACCCTTGTGGTTCATTACGAAAAATGTTTGACTTTTTTGAATTGTAAATATTTATCCAATAACATATATATCCCCATACATTTTGATGATACACCCTGTATATATAGAACATACAAAAAAAACTATATATAATATATATTATTTAATATTATTTTTTAAAACTAAAATGTATAATTTGTTTTATATTTAACAATATAAAAATAAGAGAATGAGAAAAAAATATGTTTTGTTTTCAAATATTGCAGCGGTTTTTTTTGTTATAACACTCTATCCTTCTCCAAATTTGCTATATTGTTTTTTATTTTCGAATGAATATGGATGCTTTCAAAAAGCTTTGCACATTGTTTGGGGTTTTTTGGTTTGGAAAACATTGATAGTTTCCTTTTGTTGCAGAGGCGGAGGAGAGAGGGAATAAATGAACCCTCAGGATGACAAATGGAAATGATTTTTGTAGTTGAGGAATTGAATTAAACTAAAATCGATATTAACCGAAAAATGAAATGCAAAAAAATTTGTACGTTTTTGTTTTGTTTTTGTAGAGCGAGAAAAAAATATAAAAAACTAGAAACTACTACTTACGCGACTAAAAAAATAATTATTGTATTTAAAAAAATAGATTAATATTCATAGGACAAAGCTGGGGTTACGGATAGGACGTGAAAAAAATAAAATAATAAAGAAACTAAAAAAAATAATAAATAACAAAAAATATATATAACAAAAGAAAAAAAAGAAATACAAACAAAAAAATACTGAAGACGAAAGCAGAAAGGAAAACAACAAATGGGTTATATATGAATTGTACATATAAGGACCTCGAATTTTTCGTTATATATGTTTTAAAAAAGATAATGGGAATACTTCTAAAGCAAAATTAAAAAAAAATATACCAAATTCATATGGGAGTGAATATGTCGAAAATTGTTCAATCCAACTTAGAAAATATTCCAATATTGATTGGAATTAATATTTCGATTGGAATATTATTATTAGATTAAATTTTGATTTATTGAAGTACTGAAATAATTTCAGTACAATATTTTTAATTTATATTCAACATGTATATTAAACATATTTCGAATATCTACGACAATAACCCCTTACATACTTGGTTACATACAGGAAACATTAAAAAAAATGTTAACAAAGGAAAAACTTTTGAAAATTAGTAAATACAAATGGCACACAAATGTTCGAAAGAAAATATTTAAGAAAGAAATATTTTCAAATACACAAAAACATGTTATTTTATTATATAAGAAGTTTTTATAAGAAAATAGCTTCTCAATAGATATACATATTAGTGTTCTAAGACTTGTTGTTTTCCTTCTAGGCAAAAAAATAACGAACAAAAAAAAATAATAATAACTTCTAAACCTATGTATAGAAAATGAAATGAATTCTAGCAAAAATTTACTAAATCATATAGTAATTGAAAAAATAATTTAAAAACGTCCATTTTAAATACGTTCAAAATGTTCGTCGCGTTGAAAAAGTTTACGACCCTCGTCGATGATATTTTGTGAAACGGTTTTTAAATAGAGAAAATAATCGGCCGACCAATCGCGTACATTTTCGATACGATTAAAGGCTTCTTTTTTATATTCTTCATATTTGGCCTCATTAATATATTCGGTTATATCGATTTTAGGTAATTCGGGTAATTGCATAGTATATTGGGAAAATGATTTGGGTGGGAAAGGTTCATTGGGATGGAGATAATAGTAAGTACCTGTAATGGCAATTAGAAGAAAACGAAAAAAAAAAAATCACACAATTATGATAGTAAAGAGAGTCAGCCAGTAATATGTGTATATAATAAATATATAAATATATAAACGTGCAAATTTCAAAATTAAAATATATATTTTTAACACTCAGTAAATTTTGAAGCAAAAACATATGGACATACCCCACTAGTATTTTTAATGATAAGACCACCTTTGATCTCCTAATTTAGTACCGCTGAATTCCATTTTTCGTCTTTATGTTAAGAAGAACTTTAACATCTACGGGGTTTTTAAGAAGAAATTAATTTTCAATCTCAATTTATTTATTTTTTCATGAACGGGAACCTAGCCACAAGGCCATGATCGGTTCCAAAAACCACTGTGGTGTTCTATGAGCAAATCTTCTGGTTTTCTATGAAAGGATCTTCTAGTCCTCATTGAGACCTTGTGGTATTTTATGAGATGTCCTTCCGATATACTATGATAAAATTTTCATAACTTTTAGGGAGAATCCTTCCATATTTGTATACGAAGATCTTCGGTCTTCAATAAATTTAGGCCTTCTATGGGAATTAACTCCAGTATTCTACGAGGCGATCTTTGGAATTCTATAAGGGGACTTCTTGGTATTATATAAGGTGTTTTATTATTCTATGAGAAGACTATAAGAAGTCCTTCTCTTCTAGGAAAAGACTTTGTGGCCTTCTAGCAGAACACTATTGATGTACGAGAAGATCTATAAGAACACATTCTGGTCGTCTATGCGAAGTTTTTCTCGACAAGATCTTCTAAGATTTCTGGAAAAAAACTCTCGTCTTCCAGGAGAAGACTTTTGGTATATGTGGAGATCTTAGGGTCTTCATAAGAAAAAGAGTATTTGTGTCTTCGATTCGAAAACATTTTGGCTTTCAATAAGAAGATATTTTGGTTATCTATAAAGTCTTCTTCCAAGAGAAGATTTTCCTCTATTTAACGAATATCTTCTGATTTTCAAGGAACAGAATTTCTGCTCATCCACAAAAAATTCCTCTACATTTGTATATAAAAAAATACGTTCTGGCGTTCTGAGAAAAACTCTGGCCTTGTTTACTATGAAAATAACTTCGAATATTCAATGGAAAGACTATTGGGCCTTGTAGAATGCGGACTATTGGTCTTCTTCGTCGTAAAAAGTCGTAAAGGCTTGTCTTCAGAGTTTATTTTTAGAGAATCCTCTGGTTTCTAACCTACTTTGAGGTGACCTTCTGTTATTCTACAGAAGAAAAAAAAATTGGGTCTTCTATTAGAAGATCACTAAACAAGCATTCTATTTTATGATTATCTTCTGTTCTTCTAAGAGAAATCCTTCTGCAATTTTATGAGAACAAATCCTGGCTATCAATGAAAATAACTTGTGGCTTTTTGTGAATAGAACTTCGGGTATTCAATGAAAAGACTGTTGGGTCTTGTGGAAGTCAAAATTCTGGCCTTCTTTGAGCAGTTGTTTATGTCTTCCTGGATGAGGTATTCATGTTTTCTTCGAGAAAACCATCTGATTTTATATTTGATACCCCCTTTTATGAGAAAATCCTTATCTACTTTGAGGTTAGCTTCTGTTCTTCTATAACATGATTTTCTGGTCTTTTATGAGAAGATTTTGAGGTCTTCTATGAGAAGATCTTCTAAACTGCTATTAGAAATTCTTCTCAATCCCTAGTCAAAACGCTTAAAAAGACATCTTCATTCTGGTCTCTTAGGAGAAGGGCTTCCGGCCTTCTGTGATTACACTAAATTTGGGCCGATTTCAACAAAACTTGATGTACGCCTTTCTATACTGTATCAGAAAGCTATGCAAAATTTCGTGTCAATCGGACAAACATTGGGGCTGCACTATTGGAATCCGTTATGGACCTTTTTAAATAACCTGTCAAAGGATTTGAGGCCTGTATATATTGTCAGTCATATGAAAATTCATAAAAAATTTCATTTCAAAAATTTACTGAGTGATAAAATCTGAGGCTGATCCAAAATTAAAACAAAGACATAAAAAAACAACGAAACTTACCCGCTAACAATAACAATGGCAACAGCATCAACAAAAATAATAGGAAACGTTTTTTGCTCTTGTTATCAGCACTGGAAGATTGCAACAGCCATGTGTCCAAACATAAAACCGATGAGATAAACAAATATAGATTGCGGGTGAAATATGCAAAGGCCGAGGTGATGCCATGTAGCATTGAACCAAAGAAACCTATCAACAAAAACAAATTAATTAAAAATAAGGAAACCAATTCAAAAATGCAAAAATTCCTACCTCTTTCCTCCTCTGCCAATTTGGTGTGATACATACTACTACTGTAGCTGGTGTAACGACCAACACCACCGTTTTGATCACTATTCGAACCCGTAATGCTGGACCATGTTGTGGTCACGGTTGTGACAATTGTGGTTATAAAACGCATTAACCACGATTCCTGTTGCTGCTGGTTATATTGCCGGTTTGTCGCTCTACGATATGTATAATCTACTTCATCGCCGGAATCATATGCCAACTGTTCGGCAGCTCTACGATTTTGTGTATATTTGGAGGATTCATAACGACGACGGATATATTCTTCTTGGGCAGGATCACGTTCAATCATATAATTGATACGTTCATGATGATTTTCCAATGATTTGCGGGACATATTTGGCATGGCCACAATACCGGGTGCCAATTCACGGCGATGGGGGGAAAGTTCCGAATAGGTGTAATCGGTTTTGGGTGTTGTCCTAGAAAGAGGGATACAAAATTAATTATTTATTTATTAGAAATCTGTTTGATTAAACTTACTTCCAATATTCTCCTGCCTTTTTGTATTCCAAATAGGCCACATGATCACTGGCATCGAAATTATCCAAACTGAAGGAGTTACCCAAAAATCCACTTAGATATGATTTACTTTTACTCAACTCCTTTTCACTGTTCAGCACATTTTGTGTATGTTCCTTGACATTTTTCTCTTCCTCAAATTGAGACTCGATTTGTGCCTTGGATGATTTAGCACCACCACCACTACCTCTGGAGGAATATTGTGATGCAAAATGGGTTATAAAATTACTTGCTTTAGGTGTTGATGTGGCCACACTGCCTCCAATTTTTTTGGTTTTGGTTACAACAGTTGTGGTCGTACTGGTTTTTGACTCCGTTTGACTTCTTAACTGTTGTTGTTGTTGTGAATTGCTGGACACTGATGTTATAGCCCTTGTTGCTGTTGTTTTGGTTTTATTATCAGGACTATCATCGCTGGAGTAATCGGATGTTTTTATTTTAGTTTGTGTCATTTTGGAGGGACTATTTTTACCCGAAGCCTCTACGGAAGATGATGATGTTACTTCGACGGTTTCTTCAATGATGGTTCTGGAAATAAATGGGAATAAAAAAAATATTAAAAATCAATCGGACAATCTTAGGGTCTTTACATATATAGAAGCTACGTCTAAACCCAAACCTGAGCTGTATACAAATACCACTGCAAATGTTCGTCAGAGGAAATTTTTTTTTCTTACATTCATATAGTAAGCCTAGCTAGGACATGTCATGAATTCGGAATGACTAGATTCATAAATATGCCTAAAATAGGGTGCTACGGTTATTTGGCAGCTATACCAATGCCCCAAATTGTATGGGCAATTTTCTACGAAATAATTTTTTGACCACCAATAATACGGAATTTTATAAAAAAAAATACTACAAAGGTCACCATGGGACTCTCATCCTAGCGCCTATTCAATGTCATCGAAAATGAATCCCGCAAAATATGAATATTTAATTTTATGAGATATTGGTGGGAAAATTATTTAAAAGCTTCCCAACTCTTACACACAACCTTGCTACAAACAAAAGTTCGGAAAAAAATGTTCAACATTGAAATCTAAGCGATATGTTTAACAAGGAAAAAAATATATGTATATAAAAATAAACTATAAATAAATAATTAAAAAATATATAAATTAAGTGTGTGCGTGTGTGTATGTGTGAACGTACGTACGTTATGTGTTTAGAAACAATTTTCAAACGTGTTATTTAACCTTGAAATGTTTAGAAAAAAAAAACAGCAACAAAAAACAATAATAACAATCAACACCGTCGGATGGTGGCCGGGGGTAAGACGTCGACAACACTGTGAAAGTCGTCCAACATTCTGGTGACTGTGGTGACACGACATATGCCAATGATGACGCTTTCAATAATTAAGAGGTGCGGTAACAAAAAATCTGGTTTAATGTGTGCTGTGTCGGCTACTGGTGATTTATGTAGCTGGGCCAACAAACTAATGAGGGTCGGTCAAAAGCAAAAAAAAAACAAAAGAAAAAAGTGAAAAAGCGTTAAGTTCTGCCGGGCCGAACTTTGTATACCCTCCACCATAGATATACTGACAGGTACTAGAAATGAAAATAAAGGGAACATACCAAAAAGTGGACCTATACCGACATGTCTAAAATCGGATTTTGTAAACCACAATACAAATTTCAGAAATTTTTAATTGATAATTCAAATTCGAAGATGGGGAATATCGGTCCACTCCTTCTGAAACCTCCACAGAGGCTAGGTCTAAATGCGACTATAGTTCATTATCGAACCTTACGTTCTAATTTTTTACCTCGCTATCCTCTGCAGGTGAAATGATTACAATAGAGTCTTAGAACCAAACTCAAAACGCGGAACATATCAGATAACTATATTAATATAAAAAAGGGGGTTATATGGGGACTACCCCAAAAAGGGGGCGAATATTAATAATTTTTGGTAGAGAGATTTGGTACCTATTAAGAACTCAAAATACTAAATTACAGCTAATTTGGCGGAAAAATACGATCAAAACCCCCAAAATTCTAAAAATTGGGAGGTACCATTATATGGGGGCTACCAGAAAAAGTGGACCTATATTTATAATTTTTTGTGGAGACATTAAGGACCCAATAAGAACCCAATGTAGCAAATTTCAGCGAATTCGGCTGAAAAACGTGCTCAAGAACCCCAAAATACCGAAAATTGGGGGGTACCCTTATATGGGGGCTACCCGGAAAAATGTACCTATATACATAATTTTTTTTAGAGAGATTTGGTACCTATTAAGAACTCAAAACACTAAATTACAGCCAATTTGGCGGAAAAATACGACCAAAACCCCCAAAATACTGAAAATTAGGAGGTTCCGTTATATGGGGGCTACCAGAAAATATGGACCTATACTTATAATTTTTTGTGGAGACATTTAGTATCCAATAAGAACCCAATCTAAAAACGCGCAGAAGAACCCCAAAATGGGAGCTATGCCTAAACGTGGACCGATATATCCCATCTTCGAACTTGACCTGCCTGCAGACAAAAGACAACCCTATGCAAAATTTCAGCACCCTATATCAATTCCTTCAGAAGATAGCGTGATTACAACAGACGGACGGACAGACGGACGGACATGGCTAGATCGTCTTAGAATTTTACCCTGATCAAGAATATATATACTTTATAGAGTCGGAAATGAATATTTCGATGAGTTACAAACGGAATGACAAAATTAATATACCCTCCATACTATGGTGGAGGGTATAAAAACATGAAACACACATAAAAACCACAACTTGTAGCGTCTTTGTAGAAAACGAAAACAAAAATTACGTCATGGTTTAACATGGAATTATTATGGGCAAAACTAATGGAAAGAAGTATTGACATTTGAACGGATAACAACAGAACCAATCGGGGTTGCGGAAAATTTTAAATATTACAAAATGTTAAGAATTTTGGAAATGGTATTGAAGACCAATTTTTAGTCCCGAAACTAAACAAACTTCGGGCAATTATTTCGCTTATGTTGCCAATAGAAAAAATACATGGCCTTATGGCAGCTATATCTAAATCTAAACCGATTTTCACCAAACTTAGTACATGTCATTGTAGACTTAATTCAGTACGCTGTGCTTAAATTCGTGCAAATCATTCTAGACTTAATTCAGTACGCTATGTCAAAATTCATACAAATCAAATTATTTTAAGGGACTTTGGTGCACCTTTTACCTAAAATCGGACAAAATATATATGAGAGCTATATGTAAATCTGAACCGATTTTCACGAAACTTAGCACATGTTATTCTAGACTTAATTCAGTACGCTATGCCAAAATTCGTACATATCAATTGATTTTCAGGGACTTGGTGCACCGTGTACCTAAAATCGGAAGAAAATTCATGTGGAAGGTATATCTAAATCTGAACCGATTTTTTCCAATTTCAATAGTGTTCGTCCTTGGGTCAAATAATCCAAATCGGATTCTAAATTCGATCTGTACTTTGTTTACAATTTAACTCAGAAAGTGATTCTATTCTCAAAAGGAACCATGGGTCTATCTCGTTTCCCTTTGCCTATTACAAAAATATGCACAAAGACATTATACCCTGTACCACAGTGTGGTGAAGGGTATAAAAAGTCATTCATTATATATAAATTTACTAAACTTATTTCCAAATTTTTTTCATTTCCAATAATAATGACGACTAGAATTCCATTAATCCCGCGCTCCCACGATCTCAACGTGAGCCGCCAAGTAAACAAAATCTTCAATACAGACCTATTAAAAGTGCAAACAAATTTCAAGCGCAAACATACAAAATTCACAATATGACATCATAGCTAATTATGGATACGACGAATGGGGAGAAGGAAGGTATAGTGGAGACGACAAACGGGGTGCCAACCAGCCGTCATATGGAGAATGGAACTAAAATTCCACCGCGCCATTTTTATTATTCATTGTGGTACAGTGTAAACAAAAACAAACCTTTTTTCTCTCCATTCTCTCTTTCTTTTGGTTGATTAGTTTGAGTGAAGCTTTTTTGTTGATTCAAAAAATAAATAAAAAACAAAGCAAAAAACTGTAAATAAATTTTAAAAAAGCAAAAATTGCGCCAAATGTAGGCTTGTACTCTGGTCGACGAGCGTTGAATAGCTTGTGGTTGTGGGGTCTTCTAACAGTCATCATAACGTCATATCAACAGAAATAACAATAACAACCGGCGGCTGGTATAGCACCACCACATCACCACAAAGTTTGTTATTTGATTCGAATAACGACACATAGACATGCAAAAAACGAAAATTGGTTTTTGATTTGTAGCACGCACCCACCAACCCCACACGCCTTTAACCCAATGTAACTTTTTCCCCATTTCGTAGGTGTCTATCGAGGAAGGTTGAAAACTATTTAAAAAAAGTAAATAATAAAATGTTTTCATTTGTAACTACAATCGTGTTGAACACATGTTCGAAAAACCACTCTAGTCTATATATAGATATCTATGATTGTAATCATTGGCAGCAACGTTGGCGAAGCGATGACGTTATTGCTTACGTTATAACTTAGATTTGGGAAAAAGTCTATTTTGGTTTTGTCACGATATTAAAACAAAAAATGCACGTTTTTTTATTTATTATTACTACTATAAACTGAAAAGTTAACAGCTTAAAAGTATTGTTGGTGGTTGTTGTTGACCATGTGTGTGAGACTGTGTGCAAGTTGTCCCCGCGCTGTCATCAATAATAAGGTAAACTAGATTTTTTTGTTTATATTATAAATTAGATATTAATAGGAAATTAGTTTATTGGGTGAGGTTATCTTAAAAACAAAACAAAAAACTATAAACTATTGTTAAAAGTTCGCTGGGTCCGATAAAAATGATAAAATTCCTCAAATGTAGGTCTATAGCAGTAGATGGCACATTTTTGTGGAAGAGTTGTCATCAACCAACTGACACTGAATAAAAACGTGGTTAAAAATGTTTGTAAATAAAATATATGGAAGCCATGACAAAACATGGAGATGCAGAATTGACATTTTTCTACCAGGAGATTTATTTTTCTATTCTTCAAAATACTTATATCAGTCCGACGCTCATATAGAAGCTATGCCAAAAGATTGGCGTGCTTTGAAACATTTCTACCAGGAGATTTGTATACCCTTCACCACACTGTGGTACAGGGTATTATGTCTTTGTGCATATGTTTGTAACAGGCAAAAGGAAACGAGATAAATACATGGTTCCTTTTGAAAATATGCATAGAATCACTTCCTGAGTAGTTTTATGCATGTCTGTCCATGCTAAATTGTAAACAAAGTATTGGTATATCCAGGTATATCTATATATCGTCAGCTAAAATGCAAAAAGGCGTAACTAACAAAAGCATAACTGTTTTGAATGAAAAAAATAAACATGTCAAAAAAAGTATGCCCGGCAGGGCATACGTGTAAAACTTTGTCAACACATGTAGTTTATTGACATTCACAATATTCATTCAAAAAGTCAATTTTAAATGTTTTGTTAGTTACGCCTTTTTGCATTTTAACGATATATATCTTTCTTTCCAGGTATATATATATAAATATATATTCAGGTATATCTATATATATTTTTCGATTTGCATGAAATTTGGCACAGCATACTGAATTATGTCTAGAATGATGTGTGCTAAGTTTCGTGAAAATCGGTTCAGATTTAGATATAGCTTCCATATATATTTTCGTACGATTTAATGTAATCGAATGTGATCGAATATCCTATTAGAAAAACTTTATTTTTAACGTCTACGAAAATAATTGGAGGTCTTTTAGTAGAAGTCTTTTTTAAGTTCCATAAGAAAACATTTTGAATATATGAAGACTCCCTGATCTAGTCTCCCCGATCTTCTTATGGTATTCTGTGAAATTTACAAAGATGGGTGGGGACTTTTGTGTGGGAGCTATGTAAAATATAGACATATATCAAACATTTAATCTGGGAAGAATTATGCCGAGAAACATAAAAATACCTAAATGGAACGGCTGCTTTATCTAGATAGCTCCCACATAAAGGAGAACCGAAAAAACTGAACTTCATCAAGAATTTTGATGATTCTAGCCTTATTTTCCAATTGATACAGCAGACGATAAAAGTTTACTTTGCAGAAAATATGTTATACATTTTTATGGTAATTTGTATTATTAAAAAAATTGGGATTAGAATTAATGATATCATTGAAAACAACTGATATGAAAAAAGTCTTTTGAAAACACGGTTGACGGTATATGCTATAATAAGTAGCATTTAATCTTTAAACAGGTATATTTGGGTGTCTGACGCCTGAGGATGAAATTACTTAATTTAGTCATTGCTCAACAAAATTTCAAATTTATATAGAAAACAGCAAAAAACACACACACACTGTCAATTCAAAATTTATGAGTAATGATTATTGAATTTGTTTTCAAAATATGTTTATAAATACTTACCGAACATTTGGTAATTGTGATGTTGGTTTCTTTTTATTGTGCTGATGATGTATATGTGGCTCATCGCCAATGTGATCGCAATTTTCATGATCACAACTGGAACGTAAAAATGGTGTTTTTGAACGAGACCTACGTCTCGTTTCCATGCTATGTTCGCTCATGTCTTTCGAGGTGTCTTAGACAACACAGTTTGTTGAATGGTTGATGACTTCTATAGCTTGCTGGTGGCCAAAAAACAAAAATCTATAAATGAAAAGTAAAAAAAAAAATTAGACAAAAAAAGAGAATTTCCAACTAACCATTAACTAATGTAAACAAACAAAATTATGTTACAGTATGTGGTAGTATGTAGCACTATGTAGTAAATTTGTAAGATAAACACTGAGTATGAGTAAATATGAAGATGATGATGAAGACGGGTAGTCCATCCAGTGTGAAAGATATGAATTGTGTAATGTGCTAGCGTGTGTAATATTTGTTGTTGTGGTTGGTTAGTGGAGACCTTGAAATAGAGATGTGAGAATTAGAAGACAATTTAACATAGGTTGGTCTATGTAATTTTTGGGTTAGGCGTTGTAATAATTGGATAGTCACAGAAGCTGGAAATTAAACGGCTAGAAAATACATTATTTCAGATCTCCTTCAGAGAATTATGATTATACAAAAAGACCTCTCGATCTAGGTCTTCATTCGGGTTCTTTGAGGACCTTAAGTATACTAGGGAAATAGTCTTCACTGGTAAGACCTACTGATCTTCTCAGCCTGTTGTGTAAAAGCAATAGGGCTGCTACAGACCACTTGTTTGAGACCACCTTCTGGTTTTCTATGAGAACAGCTTTTGATCCTCTATGAGAAGAACAATTGAATTGGTGTTCTATGAGAACACCTTTAGGTCTTCTATGAGAGAAGCTTCAGGTCTTCTACAAGAAGAGCTTTTGATCTTCTATGAGAAGATGTATTGGTCTTCCAAGTCTTTCGGTCTTCTATTAGAAGACCTTCTGGTCTTCTATGAGAAGACCTTCTGATCTTCTATGAGAAGACCTTCTGATCTTCTATGAGAAGACCTTCTGGTCTTCTATGAGAAGACCTTCTGGTCTTCCAAGAGAACACTTTTCGGTCTTCTATTAGAAGATCTTCTGGTCTTCTATGAGAAAACCTTCTGGTCTTCTATGAGAAAACCTTCTGGTCTTCTATGAGAAGATCTTCTAGTCTTCTATGAGAAGACCTTCTGGTCTTCTATGAGAAGACCTTCTGGTCTTCTATGGGAAGACCTACTGGTCTTCTATGAGAAGACCTTCTGGTCTTCTATGAGAAGACCTTCTGGTATTCCAAGAGAACACCTTTCGGTCTTCTATGAGGATATCTTCTGGTTTTCTATGAGAACAGCTTTTGATCCTCTATGAGAAGAACAATTGAATTGGTGTTCTATGAGAACACCTTTAGGTCTTCTTTGAGAGAAGCTTCAGGTCTTCTACAAGAAGAGCTTTTGATCTTCTATGAGAAGATTTATTGGTCTTCCAAGAGAACGCCTTTCGGTCTTCTATGAGAAAACCTTCTGGTCTTCTATGAGAAGACCTTCTGGTCTTCTATGAGGAGATCTTCTGGTCTTCTATGAGATGATATAAAAACGAAGACCTTCTGGTCTTCTATGAGAAGACCTTCTGGTCTTCTATGAGAAGACCTTCTGGTCTTCTATGAGAAGACCTTCTGGTCTTCTATGAGAAGAAGACCTGCTTCTTCTGCCCTGCTATGAGAATACCATCTGGTTTACAACAAGAAAACCTTATGGTGTTCTATGAGGTATGGTGCTGATCAATGGGCCTCCTGACGTCGGGACCTTATTAGAATAAGTTTTTTTAGCAAAGGTACCGAAATGCTAAACTGACGCTACTTCGGTTGAAAAATGTTCTAAGAATCATGAAAAATGTGTAGAACCTTTAAATGGAACCTTTTTCAAAACATGGACCTACAAAATTTTATAAAAAAAAGTTTTTCGCTTTCCAAAGGAAACAGAATATCAAATTACAGCCACTTTGCTTGGAAATGAGGCGGAACCTTTCTATGAATGCTATTAAAAAAATTGATCTATAATGGGATTTTTTGAACTTGTGTGTTTTTACCAAATTGCAGACACTTCGGTAGATTCCAAAAATGGATGGGGGATGATGCAATGTCAAATTACCGCAACTCCAAAATGGGTCTACACTTTTTAAATTGCAGATAATGGGGTGTTATCGTTATTTGGGTTCCATTCCAAAAATGGGCCGATTTTTGTCATTTCAATAGCAAACATCCTAGTCAACAATAGCAACCTATGTGGATTTTTTTAAAGCTCTATTTAAAATATTGCAATGTTTTTGTTGATTTCAAAAGACTTCCGTCTGCACTCGGATCTGACTATATCGATATAGAATTTCGAGGTTTTACGAACAAAGTATTTTACACTCCACCTTTTGGTGGAGGATATAAAAATGAATCCCATGAAACTTATTACCAAAAAATTTAAGAAATCAAGAACTAACAACAATTACCCTCCATTATAAAAACTACAAAACAATTAACAAACAAAAAAATTACCACATGGCCTGTTTGTCTACGATTTGGCTGGAGGGACGCTCGCTAAGCACGCACTTCACTCAGCAAGCAAATCAAATACAATTTTAATTTGAGTTTATTTGATTTGTTAGCAAAGAAATACAGAAGAGACACACTTTGAGTCTATTAATGGAAATCAAATAAAAAAACATTTAAAAGTACGAAGGTCGGTAACGGCAAAAAGTCTAGAACTCAGTGAGTTGTTTGGCTCCCTGAGATGAGGAAGAAGTCGTATGGATCAATTGCTAACATTGTTTTCTTTCCCCGCCCAGCAAATTTACAACAGATTGCCGCCTTCTTGCCTATATAATTCAATTGTTTACTCCACAATCCAAGACGTTTCATGATTCACTGCTACAATAATGCGTTGCTGTGATGTGCTGCTCGTTCCCTCTTCTTGCAAAATTCCCGATTGCTTTTATCAATTCCACAACACATGTGTAGAGCGGACGTTACAAGCAGAATTGAAAAAAAACTGATATTGAAAGTCCCGCCAATTTTTTCTCGCTCAATCTTATTTTTTAAGAACTGGGAATTAATCTGCATTAGTGGAAAGGAAGATATGCATATATGTTTCACTAAGACCTTGTTAATAAGCAATGATAAATTGTTTATCAAAACCAACTTAATGTGGAGAGGAATGGGAGATATATTAAGTCTTAAGGGACTAAAGAGACCCGAAGTAAAATGGATCGACCTCTACGGGCCTGGGATCATTGATTGGGGAAAGTCAATGGTTGGGGCTACCAACTGAAATATTTATTTAAACCATACAAAATACCTCAAAAATCCAGTTCAATTTAAATTTTGAAACTATTCGCATTTTTTAAAGGAAGATCTTACGATTTAATATATCTTTTCCTACAAAATATTTAATGTGCTACAACAAGCAGCCCCATAACTCAAGCGTTTCAGGTTATGCAATTCGCTATTTTCATTCTTATGTTGAGAAGCAGAAAATTTAGCACAGCCCAAATAATTAAAATAGACACAACACCACTCTGATAATGATGAGGACAAAATAAACATACTTAAAATGTATGTAATCATCAAAAATATGCAAAAAAAAAAAAAAAAAAAAAAAAACATACCAAGGCAAAGAGTATGCAAAGTAGAAGAAAATAGATAAAAATATTCTCCGCAGGGATCATCTAAAAAGGCAGGCAAATATTCCGCCAAAAATTAGCGACATAATATAACTGAAAATGGGAACAAATTGGGCTCAATCGTATTTATGTTGTCTTAGAACCTTAGAGGAAAATTAGCAAAAATAAAAAATAAATGGAACCCCCAAAAAATCTAAAAAATAAATGAAAAACGAATCAAAACAAATTTCGAAATAAGAACAAACTAAATATAGACGATTCGCATACATACATATACATAGATGGATGTTGATACGAAATGAATTAAAAATGTACATACATATATTTATGTATGAGCGTACCAATCGCGACAACATTTTTTGCTCACTAGCAGATTAGTCAGCCAAAATGAGAATCCCACAAAGACGATATTTCTGTTTTCGATTTTTTTTTCTGATTAACAAAATATTCGCATTCACAAACGTTTTTTTTTTTTTGGTTCTCGTGAAACAAGTCACACGATGCGATCAACAGACATAAAAATGAAATTTATTTTTTTATTCATTATTATGAAAAAACAACAACTGTACTTGAGAAAATGTTTCAATATTAAAATCATACATAAATTTTGTAAAATTATTGAAGGTTATAACAGCGAATAATACTACGACCTCAGTCGTTTATTTTATGATTGATATAAATTTATAGGTTAGAATTAAATATTAAACATATAAACAGTTTGAGAAAACTCATATACAAATATTTTTCAATGTTAAGATGCATGTATTAAAACATAACTGAACCTGCAGGCAGTAAGACCAAGTTATAGTTAAAGTTGAAGAACTTCAATATCTCTAGATCATTTACGTTACCAGAAATTGATATATTGGTATAGAATGGATATAAGAGCTGAAATTGGATTAAACTGAAAAAAGGACAACTTTGTTCGAAATTGCAGACGATTTTCGAAAATAAGGCACTTCTCAAAATATGCATTTGACTGCAGTCAATACAACAAAAGCAATTCATGTAGGTTTGAAACTATTATTGACGCCCCAAAAATTCTTCCGCCTTTGACTCATACTAATGTGGTTGCCTTGTCACGCTCTGTAAATATCTATAGAAGTACAACATTAGCGACTATAACCCCCATCTCAACATTTATTCTTTAAATTCTCAATTAACAGCCGAAGAAGGATGGCTTAGCTGTTCGACAGAGGATTCCGGATTGACCGGAAGTATGACAATCATTGATAACACTTATTCCCATCTATGGATAAGCTAGGATCATGGCTTAAATCTGCAAATAGATCGTTGTATTTTTTGAGTTCGTCCGCTTTGTGGGTTGGCGATCCTATGGATGCAAACATTTTGATTCTCCTTCTTTAAATGTTTCTAAGTAGTAGTTTGTTGTGAAGCGGCACCCTGTTGAGGCTATAGTGAAGTAGTTCTTTTACTTTATCTTCTCCAGTTGTTAAATTTTGCTAAA